CACCGTCCCACCAGGTGGAGCGGCAGCCGGCGATCGATGATTAGCACAAGCGATAGAAGTACTGGAGAAGTACTGCCACTCACAGGCCCTATGATTCGTTACATACATTGACTTACAATGATATGGACGTCGGGACCGCGCTAAAAAGTGTCCGAATTTATAGGGCGTTAAAATCGTATACAGAGCGTCATTCACGCTTTAGTCTTCGTTTGTTCGACTGACAGCGAAGCAAGCAAAATTAGACAGTACTGCGACGACATTACAATTTAAATTCAACGTTTTAGCTTTTTCATATTCCTTTACATGTCACTACGTTTAAATAGGTTGACTTGGGACATTTTTTCGTGGTTTTTTGTATTAGACCCGTCGTCCATTTATTTGTAAGTCAATGGTTACATAGCAATTTCCTTTAATTTAAACTGGTAATTTAGTGAACACTTCGATAACGCGTTCTATTTTGATCCCAACACCATCAAGGCGAGGTTACTAATATTTTTTTATTTGTACGTGGTGTTACAATAGTAAATACTTAAAACTATTTGACCTAGCAAAACTGTTTATCCCACTTCTCTTCCGATGACTCGCCTTAAGCTAGTGCAAATATTTCCTCACGTGACCTTAGAAGTTTACTTAGCCGTTTTCGCTGTTTTATTTTCATTAGAATTACATCTACGAGTGTGTGCCAAGTTTTTTTGAAATCGGTTCACGGAAAGTGGGTGAAATTCAATAAACCAGATTCATCCCCTAATTTGCCACCCTTAGAGGTGGATTATTCTATACATTATTATACCAAAGGTACGAATTTATTATCATAAGATAAGATAAATTTATTTCAATGTGATTTAACCTAATACAATATAAGTAAAACAAATGTAAGTTAAGCTATTATAGTATTCAAATAAGAATAAACAACGAAATCTAGATTATACATTCTTCATAATAAAGCTATATTTTAATATTAGAACCTAATGTGTAATTGCGATGCCTAAACTAAATAAATATATACCTGTATTTTAGGCATCTTTTTGTTTCTTTATATTACAGCTTAAAATAGATTGTCTATATTTAACAATAAATAAATAGTAGTTATAAATTAATGGTTACCTATATAAAACAACAAATTGTAATTATGAAACAACTCCCAGCATGTCCTCTGCTTTATTGTAAGTCACTCTTAAGGCACAATTTGAAGGTCTTTTTACATTCTATTTTATTAATGGCGAAATAATGCAAAGTAGAATTTAACTTAAAGTAAAAGTATGTACCAAGGAAGCAAAAGAATCTATGCGAGTGTGCTGTACGGAGTTGTGTACGAGATGAAAAGGTATCGGATCGAGTCGTCTGTGGTTGGCTAAAGTAACGGAATCAAATGGAGTAATTGAGTGCTTTTTCAAAATTATTTCTTGGATAAACAGTTGGCCGAACCGAGAGGACATCACACTCGTTTAGGAGTTTGTGTCTCAACGTCGTTTATCTGTCGTCACACTTTTATCGTGACGTTTTTTTAATCGACAGACGACGATCACTCTAGCTCTTCCCATTATCACGACAGTCCGTCGTCGTAATGTCAAAAAAGTCGTTATCGTTTACGGCTTGTGTATTCTACAGTCCTCTGTAGAATACACAAGCCAAGCGCTTTAAACTGCACGACTATCTGTCGTCACGACATAATGCCGTTACGATTTAAAGTGAGTTCTTGAGAAAACCATTTTCAAATGGACCTGGCTTCATCTCTGTACAATATTTTTCTTCTTACTAAACTCCAGTTTGTAATATTTAATGATAATATACCAACAAACGCAGTAAGTTAAGGATGCTCTTGAAAATAAACATGTTCAACAGCTTTACGACGAAAATTATTGCATTAACAGTCGTGTTTTCCGACGAACGCTTGTCCATAACACTTGCAACACCACTCAGAACTTTAAATCACAAAGATCTGAGGAGTACTGCCACTGCGCCTGTCACCCCGAGACATTAGTTGATAAGTCTCATGTCATACAGAGGCGGCTGCGTAAAGGCCCATTTAGATGGAGAGAGTTTCTCTTCTCGAACGTACGATTATCGAAAGGATATAAAAAACTCTCCTCGTCTAAACATTCGCGATTATCGACCGTCCACGTGAGCGATAATCTCCTCGCCTTTCAATATTGAACGTCTCCGTGTAAACAGAACTCGAAAGCAAAAATCGTATTTCGAGTTTCTGTGCCAGCCGTTTCTACCACGAGTGCAGCGCGCGAGGGTGTTTTGATTATCACTGCTTTTCTAGACGAGAATTAATGGAACAAGAGCGAAAAAAAAATTTCAAATAACGGTGAGTGAGCCTCTGTGGTCGAATATAGCGTGGGCAATATAGTATTTAGGGTGCTCTCGTAACGAATATTGCACTCCTTTCTAAATCCAGGATGGCGGGCACGACTTTTCAAATAATGACAAGTTGGGTATCGTTTTTGAGGTATTTGGGGGTGCTCATTACGAACATAACATTTATTTGTAAATCCAAGATGGCCGACACGACTTTTCAAGTAAATGTACTTTTCAATAAACACTCCTCACTCACTCGCCACTCACTCCCTACTCACTCACTCACTCACTCACTCACTCGCTCACCACACACCATACACTCACTCACTCACTCACCACCCACTCACTCGCTCACTCACCACTCACTCACTCACTCACTATCTCACTCACTCACTCACTCTCTCGTTCACTCACTCTCTCACTCACCACTCACTCACGCACGCACGCACACACGCACGCACTCACTCAGTCACTCACGCACTCACTCACGCACTCACTCGCCCTATAAATTCATCATAATTGTCAGTTTTTGTTTGTGTCAGTAGTTATAAAATTTAAAAAAAAATGATAAATCAAAATTATATTTCTATACAGTGCAATGAACTTAATATTATCAGCAGATTCAAATTTGAATGATTTTTGCGTCATTTTGATATATCCATAGTCAATACCTCAGTAATCACAGAACTCGAATGGCAATTCTCGCACTCAAAACGGTTCGAACCGATTTGTACGATAATCGTATGAACTTGAAAAAATGTCATACGAGATCGTGTTTAGACAAGTCGAAAACTCGTAAGCAAGAATCTCCTTACTACATATTTCTCTGTGTAAACAGTCGAGGAGGCGATTAAGTTGCTTACGAGTCTCGTATGACATAATCGTAGGCGAGATTTTAGTTCTTGCCTGAATGTAAACATTATGATACGATAATCTTATGGCGATTATTGCTTACGAGAATCGCCTACGAGTTTTCGTCTCGAAGCGTGCGAGAAACTCTCCCCATCTAAATGGGCCTTAAGGAAGGATAGAATTTTTAATCAGAACTAAAAAGAGCGTGTATAAGTTATGATTTATGAAATTATAATTGACAGAAGATTGAAGCACAGGAGTAGAGAGAAATTAATAAACAACCTGATTTTCAGTAATTAACAAAAACGTGTTTGATCCATAGACACTTTTGATGTGGTAGATAAATAAACCCAAAATACACTGGAAAACGCTTCTGATTGATTTATATCTCAGTAGATTTATGACACTTATCACCATAAAATGTGTTTTTGATGTTTAATAATAAAACTGCTTGATATAAGAGTATTATAATAAATACAGCGACATCTCTGTAAATTTTCTGGTAGCTGTACCTAAAGCTTAGTGAAGAAACTTCTAAAAGTTATCACAGATGGCGCTAACGCAGAAAAGCTGTTTAAACACTCAATACAAAGATAAAGATCTGCAACAGTGGGCCTAGTCTTGTTGTCCATCCAACATTCGTCTAAAACAATAATTGTCAATTTAATAATACACGACCAAACTACACCAGTGCCCGCTCTCTGTGACCATACCACATGAGTAAAGAAAAGGAAAAAATATGACGACATAACATAAAACTACTTTATGTTAGATTTGGAATATACCACCCAGTTAAGAGACACAACAAATAATCGGAAAAGAAAAATCATAAAAAAAGAATATTTAGGACAATTCATTTGTAACAAAATATGCTGTCATATCCATTTGCTTACAAATAAATGGACGACGGGTCTAATACAAAAACCACGAAAAAAATGTCCCGAGTCAACCTATTTAAACGTAGTGACATGTAAAGGAATATGAAAAAGCTAAAACGTTGAATTTAAATTGTAATGTCGTCGCAGTACTGTCTAATTTTGCTTGCTTCGCTGTCAGTCCAACAAACTAAGACTAAAGCTAGAATGACGCTCTGTATACGATTTTAACGCCTTATAAGTTCGGACACTTTTTAGCGCGGACCCGACGTCCATATAATTGTAAGTCAATGGTCATATCATAAAGTTTTGTTTATTTAATTTTATCCCCCTGTGCCAACCCTACAAAAATAGGTATAAATTTTGCACGCTCTTTAGAAGCTTTTGTCTCTATTCCTTTTCTTTACTCATGTGCTTAGAGGATGGAAAAAAATAAAGGAAAATAGCTGCCCTATCTACGGAATAAACTACCTACCTAAACCAGAATTGTAACAAACTTATGGCGGATTTCTTTAGCGTTGTATCATAATCATCGATAAGTCAATATCGACATGCAAATGTGTGGCTCGAATGTTGAAACTGTTTTTTATGTTTAATTTGTAGTCAGAGCTCATGTGGCCATGCCTTAGACTATTTGCATGTCGGTATCGACTTATCGATGATTATGGTACAACGCTAAAGAAATCCGGGCAGCTCCTTTCCATCCTTTCCTTTATTTCCTTTACTTTCCCAGCTTGTGCTGTCAAACTGGTGTAAGATTTGTAAACACAGAAGTCATGATCGAGTATTGTGTCGTGGGTAGCCTAGTAAATCGTTTATCAAATAATTAGAAAACAACACGTAATTATATTAGCAAGATTTATCCTCTCATAAGGCATATTACGTAAACAATACAAGCAAAAACAATATTAAGTGATAAGTATAACCGGCTCCGACAAAATATAATAACATAATTTCTCTTATTTTCAGATCAAGATGAGCACAGAAATACCCGAGCCGACCCCCGCCCTCCCTCCAGCCACCGCTGACACCACCACCGAAGCTCCCACCGGGGCTGCCCCCAACGATGGCACGGGCCCTCTCATCCCGGTACCCGCAGCCCCGAAAAAGCCACCCCGGCGGGGCCCAAAAGTGCAGCAGGAGAGACCGAAACGAGCCATCTTTTGTTTAACCATGAAGAACCCATTAAGAAAGATCTGCATTAACATTGTGGAGTGGAAGTACCCTTTTCAATTGCAAAACTAAAATTCGGGTATTCGTGTGTTTTGGCTGACTTTTCGGTATGACACGGTTTGTGTATAACACGAGGTCAACTTACTTTGGTTGTTTATGTCACTGTTCTCCAAACCTGTTACGCAAATTTAAAAAAAGCTTTATGCTTTTTATACATTGACTTACAATTATATGGACGTCGGGTCCGCGCTAAAAAGTGTCCGAACTTATAGGGCGTTAAAATCGTATACAGAGCGTCATTCACGCTTTAGTCTTCGTTTGTTCGACTGACAGCGAAGCAAGCAAAATTAGACAGTACTGCGATGACATTACAATTTAAATTCAACGTTTTAGCTTTTTCATATTCCTTTACATGTCACTACGTTTAAATAAGTTGACTTGGGACATTTTTTCGTGGTTTTTGTATTAGACCCGTCGTCCATTTATTTGTAAGTCAATGCTTTTTATACAATTTTTTTCAACAAATTTAATAGCAGTAGAGCTCCTTGTGACAATGTTCGTCCAAGGAAGTACTGACACCTTCCCTATTTCTGCCGCCAAGCAGTAATGTCAGCATTACTGTGTTCCGGTTTTGAAGGGTAAGGGTGCTGGTGAAATTACAGGCACATAGGACTTGTCAACTTATGTCTCAGGGTGACGGGCGCAGTGGCAATGCCCCTAAGATCTTTGCGAGTTATTGCTCTGAGTGGCATTGCAACTGTTATAGACAGGCGTGAAGCTTACCATCAGGCGCACGACTTGTCCGTCACGTCACTTGGTATCATAAAGAACAATGGAAGTATAACAGAATAAGCTCTCTAGCTTCCTGCTACTCTTAGCAGTAGAGTTCCTCACGAAAGATTTCGTCGTAGTAATACTGCCAACCCACATACTTCTGCCACCAAGCAGTAATATGGGCTGTCGTGAAACTAAAAGCACATGGGCCTTGTCAGCTTTATATCTCAGGGTGACGGAAGAAAAAGAAAACAAACTTTCATTTATACGATCCATAAATCCGTTGATTTGTCAAACGGTTCGACCAGGCAATTTATTTTAATCGTGTAAGGCTTAATGAATTCCAAAATCGATTCAACTTTTCGTTCGGCATCCCTTTTCACTTGGCATCGAGCCACAAAAGTAACAACACAGTACTCCTTTGGGAGTATACCACCAACAGTAAAAAGCAAACGTTCGATATTCACTCTTGTTTCAAAAGCGACAAGGCACAGTAGAGCGTAAAGAAACAACATGTTTAAGATAAAAACTTTGTAAGTTGTAAATTGCGTGGAATAAATTCCGTTTGAATCCAATATGAATATCGTCCGTCGGAATTTACAGGCTGTAATAGAGGAGTCTATTTCTTTTAGTTTTTAAAACTTCTATTTAATATTTCTACCTTTAACTGGCTTCAAAAAAGTCGGTTCTAAATTTGACTGTATTTCTTATGTGCCGATTTCGATGATTCTTCTATTATTATTATTAGAAAGGTGGTACCTTAATAGCGGTATCATTTAAATTTGAAGAAAATATCTACGTACAAGAGTAGTGGCGGATGAATCTGGTTCCGGGCACTTTCCAATAACCAATTTGTGTGTATTTAAACATCTTAGATCGAGAATACCTGAAGGAGTTAAACGGGTCACTACGAGGATTTTTGTCATCCAAGTACGCAGAAGTTGTATAAATAACCTTTAGTATAAAGTTTTTGTTTCACAATAGTTTTAAACCTCGTAAATGGCAAATTTTGAACTTCACGAGTGTTGACACGGTGAAAAAGGAAGCGGCCTTCATTCGCAATGTAGCGGGAAATACAAATGTAGTCAAACTTCAAAGTCGTTTGTTTATTTTGTTTATGTATTTGAAGATAAAAACAAAGTGCCAGGTAAAGTCCCACATGATCTTTCTTCAGGACTTGAGCGGTAGGTGTAGATAACGGCGGTACATTTGGTAGGCGGTACGATACAAAAAGTACGAAACCAGCTATCAGATAGATTCCGTGTTGCCGTTTCTTGCTTGTAGATAATGACGTCATTTAGGTAGGTATCTCACATTAATAAAAACCCCTCATAGTAACAATTTGTGACAAAATCTTAATATCACGATTGAGCATGTGCATAAAATCAACCAATGCCATCTAGCGGATATTGGTGGAACTACAAAACCATTCATTTATTTATTTTATATCATATAAATACTTCATATTGTTCATTTTGAAGATTAAATCATTCACTTTGAAATACATCTTCTAGTATTTTAGTAGGTCAATTTTATGCAATCATTGCACTATGAGGGATCGTAAATTCGAGTACAAGAAGTAGGTACGAGATTTTAAGACCTAACTATCTAATGATTGCATACAATACTTTTATTTGTATTGGTCTTAAATAGTTCTATTTTCCAAATATTAAAAATTCACCTTTGTACCAGATATATAACAATTTCATGTTACCTGTTCAGGCACACAGTGACGCGTTTGAGAAGAGTCTTTTAATTATCAAAAATACGACGGTCTTTTTTTAAAACTCATTAGCGTTCAAACATTATGAAAATTTTCAGTTTTAGTGGAAAAAAAACAAAATTGTCTATGACTTTGGTTGATTGGTTTAGGTAATTATAGATGACGGAGTACATTGACTTACAAATAAATGGACGACGGGTCTAATACAAAAACCATGAAAAAAATGTCCCAAGTCAACCTATTTAAACGTAGTGACATGTAAAGGAATATGAAAAACCTAAAACGTTGAATTTAAATTGTAATGTCATCACAGTACTGTCTAATTTTGCTTGCTTCGCTGTCAGTCGAACAAACGAAGACTAAAGCGTGAATGACGCTCTGTATACGATTTTAACGCACTATAAGTTCGGACACTTTTTAGCGCGGACCCGACGTCCATATAATTGTAAGTCAATGACGGAGTAGAAAAAATAGTTTACACGTAAGGTATTCCTAAACACTGTTCCTAATACCTTTGAGCAGTCAAAATCAGATATAGCCATCAAAATAATGCAACACGTTCCAATTGTTCGGGAAATACGTGAAGTGAGCGACATTCGTAACTCAATTATCGATTATAGTACGCCGCTAATGTTGCGGCTGTAGTCTATTAAACGCTTCACAAATTTATTGACAATATATTATATACTCATGGATATATTTAGGAAACCGCTAAAAAGAGGACTAATTATAATAACTACGCTCCTATGGACCACTGGCCACACGTGTTCACTTTTTTTCTGCCTGTACTTACTTAAATTTTATTTCCTAAAACATATCACAAAGGCGCTCTTGCCCATTCAGAACTTAGAGGATGGAAAAAAGATTCAGAATGAAAATTCTATTGTCTATTGTACTCGCTTTGTACACAGAGCTGTAATAAGTTTCAAAAAAAAAGAACGCCGTATTTTTGCTAATTAAAATATCAATTATGACGCTACTCGAACGCTCTGGATTAGGTAAAGTGGCCTAAATATCTTGAAAAATAATAAGCCTACTTGGCCACTTCTATTCTAGCTCTTTGGTTGTCTTGTTTTGTAGCGTTTGTTTGGTTTTCGTATAAATATATGAAGAGAGAGGCTGATGGTTAGACCCTTTGTCTACCCAAATAAATGGGTGAATATGTCTTGTAATAAAAAGAAAATTACGTTTCTTGTCATGGATTGTTATCAAAATATATAATAAATATTGGTTGTGTTTAATTATTAGATTTCACTTATTCGTAAAAAAAGTATAACATTACCTACATAACCGGGTCTTAAAATCTCGTCCTATTATTAGGCCACTCGGCAAAACCTTGGAGCCTAAAGACGGTACTCGTCTAAAGTAACGATTGCATAAAATACTAAACCAGGAAAGATCGAAAGAAACGTTTAAAAATATCGATTTTAATATATAATATTTATAAAAAGAATACAAAACGCGAAGTTTTGAAATTCATCAATAGACAGACGTCTATTGTAATCACAATAGACATTTGAGGTTTTAACAGGCGAATTTTACCATTACCTGATTTGTGTAACTTATCCTCGGTCTCACTCTTGTCTAGTTACCCAATGATACAGATCCCAGCCCGCATTGGGTCACTGGACCATTTGTATCTAACAGCGTGACGCAGATTCATTATGGCGATGTCTTCAATATAATAGTTCATAAAATCAAAATCAGCTCAAAATGTTCATAATAAAACATCAGAAGAACGTTGAAATAGCGCGCTCCGTTGACTGTTTGATAGATTATCTCACTACACTTCATCTGTCGCCGCTCGTAATAATACGTCCGCGAGCCCGAATGTGACCAAAACAAACCATTTGTGTTGTATGACTCAGTTTCCGTACGTACTTATGTACATATGTTAGGCAATACGTTTATTCCCGTTATGCTCTACCGTTTTTCGTCTGCATTACATTTTCAGTGAATAGCAATGATTTAAAAAGAGTTGTAGTAGTTTAGAGAGAGAACGGTTCAATTCCAGCAGCGACTTATGACTTAATTTTTCCCGTAGTCGTGCGCCTGGTAGTATGCGACACGCCTGACTATGGCAGTTGTAGCACAGTTCTAGTGCCGCTCCATGCGCCTGTCACCCAGAGACATAAGTTGACAAGTCTCAAGTGCCCGTAATGTCACTAGCACCCTTACCCTTCAAAACTGGAACGCACTAATTTCTCAATTACTGCCTGGTGGCAAAAAAATAGAGGCAGTGGCAATACATCCCTGGATGAGCGGTACTTCTTCTAATTCATACATATACATCAATACATTCATTTGCCGTACGCATTAAGAAAGATGAAGCAAGACACATTGAGGTAATGGTATACCAACGACGTAGGGTATTTCGGACTTTCTAGTCGACCGAAAGACAAACTATGAAGATCAAACTGGAATAATTCCGCGCACAACTTTACTCAAATTTAGCCGTCAAGTATTTTCCTGAACTCCCATTCAGACCGTTCGAGTGGATGATCCTTACAACAATATTCGCGAACTGCGTGGCCCTAGCCGTATACACGCCTTTCCCTTACAGCGATTCAAACTACACCAACTGGGTTCTTGTAAGTTTTTTCGTCTACTTTTTATATTATATTATATATTTTTTCAGATGCACGATGGGCAACCTTTTCACGTCTCTACGAGACAAAAATGTTGAACATAAATGGAATAGGTAGGTAGGTATGTAAATATCCAAACCAGATATGCCAGTTTACCTCAAAATGTTTCGGCTATCACATATTCACATCGGCGCAAGAGACCGTTGACATTTACATCGATTCAAGAAGACTACTTTTGAGCATTAACATTTTTTGTATCAAAACTTGAAGCTATAGATAACACTAACATTATTTTACAACTTCTTGTTCAGGAGAAGATTGAGTACATCTTCCTAGTGATCTTCACTGGCGAATGCGTGATGAAGATCATCGCATACGGATTCGCGATGCACGCAGGCTCCTACCTGCGCAACGGCTGGAATCTACTCGATTTTACAATAGTTGTTATAGGGTAAGGCTCGAGATCATGCAACTATAAATATTTTCATAATTAACAACCCTTATACGTCCCAGTATTGGCCACCTACTCCTTAAACTCTTCTCGGTGAAGTAATCGCCAGCCATCTCTGTCCATAACTTTGATTTCCTGACACGACAAGACATTAGCTTTTTCTTCAACCCGGTCTGCTTCTCTTTCCTTCGATCTTCCCTTCTAAGATGTTTCTAAGAAAACCTCCCCGTATGTATAGCTTGACTGCTATGGATGAAAGAGGCGATTGTTTTCGATTTTTCGACCAATCGTTTTCCCATGATACATTCAACTTTATTGAAATTGTGCCCACCTATCAGGCCATCTATCTCGCATATGTGCCGTCCAAATAAAACCTAAATCAGGCTGCAGAAGTAGCATTATAGACTAAGGCAATTTCTTTTCCAGTATGGTGAGCACAGTACTGTCGAGCATATTCAAAGACGCGTTCGATGTGAAGGCCCTGCGAGCGTTTAGGGTGCTCCGGCCGTTGAGACTCGTATCTGGGGTGCCAAGTAAGTACTAGAGGAGATCACTCGATGTTAGAGCTGCAGGATTTTTTTTCATATGACATCATTTGCTTTCTACGATAAAAGAACCGGTTACCAGCCTTGTCTGAAACCTGACCGACTAAAGAAAGATAAAAGCAGAGACACTTCCTGAATCCAAAAAAAAATAAAAGAGACAACAGGAACTTGAATCAACAATAATTAAAATCAATCTAACTTTTCATTGTCTGTCGTTTCAGGTCTACAAATCGTGCTAAACTCCATCCTAAAGGCCATGATTCCACTACTCCACATCGCGTTGCTGGTCATTTTCGTCATCATCATCTACGCTATCATCGGACTGGAACTCTTCTCCGGAAAGATGCATAAGACTTGTTATAATATGCGTACAGGTACAACATTGACCATTATGATCTTAGTAATCTGCGAGACGTAGGAGGAGAGACGCTTTGGACCAATAATCCGTAGTTCCCTCATGCACCCCGCAAAACAACGAGATTGCGAAGTATATCTGTTGAAAAAGTATATTTTTATGATGATATATTAGGAGACGGCATTGTTAACATTGAACTTAAGATATCAGTGATTGGTAACAAAGTCTTAATCTAGGTTCGCTGCTGGGTGTCAACTGGAATGCATGTTTTGTATTCAATTTCTATACATTCAGAACTTCATTTATTTTCTCTTTGTTACTTCAGGCGAAATGATGGACACTCCACATCCGTGCGACGACAACGGTTTCAACTGCTCAACTCTCTCAAATGACACGAAATGGGAATGCAGGAATGACTGGGACGGTCCCAACTTCGGCATTACCAATTTTGATAATTTTGGTCTCTCCATGCTGACAGTCTTCCAATGCATCACTTTGGAGGGGTGGACTGATGTTATGTATAATGTAAGTGCGATTCTATCTTTAATACTTGCAGTCACGCCTTAGGATTCCCAATGGGCAAAGCCAGTCCATGGCAAACCCCACGTTCATTGATCTATTTTTCATACAAGCCCTCGTATATTTCTCACTACATACTTATGTTCACATCATTGTTCATGATACTTAGTTACTACATGTCTGCCAAATTAAAAGGTGCTCAGTGATCAAATAATAAAGATGCGTTCTAAAGCATTCACTAGCATCGTCCTGTTTTTTCAGATTCAAGATGCAATGGGCAATAGCTGGGAATGGATATACTTCGTATCTATGGTGATTTTGGGTGCATTTTTCGTTATGAACCTGATTCTCGGTGTGTTATCCGGGTAAGTGACAAATACGTTTTCGTTATAGATTTTAAGACTTTACTGGTTATTCCATTAATGATTATCCCCAGTTAAGGTTCGGTTACACTTCTTATTATTTTCCCGATATTTTGTTACATGCTCCATGGTCATGGTTTGTCTCGCCAACGAAAGTTAACAATTTTTTTATCAATTCCTATATAAACAATTTAATTTACTTCTGTAAAATAATGCTGAACTCTTAGAAGAATAACGCATAGAATGATAGTTTCATATCAAACGAACTGTCACAAGTGAGGCAAAAATCAAATTCATGTAGGCTAGTCTTAGTAGTAGGTTAATTTTCGGTTTTAGTGAATATTTATACAAAAATACAAGTTGAAACGCGTTACTTCCTTGTGGAATGTGATGTTAGTATCTATTTTATGTTTGTCTGACGTATTTTTACACTCATTTACCGCACATTTCGTCATTTTTAGCTAAAATTCTTGATCTGTTCGCGGTGCAAGTTGACCTTGAGCACTGAAGGCCCGCCCGCTCGTGTAGGCCCTTTGGGCGCGCTTCAATTTGCCTCACTTAGCGTGTGCGGGCTAGGTTTCTATGCGTTATTATTCTAAGGCTGAACTCTTCAAAAACGGACACTTTCTTTTAATCCATAATGACCACGCTCAACAGGTTTGTTGACTATAGCAGAAATGCTACAATCCTGTACGCAAGAACTAACTAACCTTCAAAGGAAATCGATGAATATGCTTCATCATTGTCAACGACAACACTTTATGATTCCCACCACTGGGAAGTTTTTAGGTCACTGTCCGCCATGCTGGCATAGTAAAAATATCTCTTACATTTCATCACGATGTTTTTATTCATCGTTAGCGACAGGTGCTGCTGCTAAACATTTAAAAGTCATAGGTACATGCCGTCACAGGGGTTCGAACCGTCTATTTCTTAACTCAGAAACAATTGCTCTCCCACTGTTGTCTTCTTGTTAAATACTTAGGTCACGCAATGTTCTAAATAACATTCTATCTTTCAGAGAGTTCTCCAAAGAAAGAGAAAAAGCGAAAAATCGAGGTGACTTCCAGAAGTTAAGAGAAAAACAACAGCTAGAAGAAGATCTAAAAGGATACCTCGACTGGATAACTCAGGCAGAGTACTTGGAGCCCTTGGCGGATCAAATAGATGCTAACGACCAGAAAAGAGATTATATGATAGGTATCACAACCGTTCGTATTTTCTTAGACTTAGGGAGCATTTATGCGACACGAATGCGAAACGTGCGTCTAGCTGTCATGGCAAAATACGCTCTATTCGTTTAGCGTTTACGTTTTGACTTAATTGAGCGTCCCGGACACGCGGGCGAGTCTGGCTTGAATTTGATCTACGCAGCGTCGGCGCGGTTGTATTATTCAGAGAAATTTAAATGTTGTTGCCTAGTAAATAGAATTCAGATTCGCAATTAATGTACATGACGGCGTGGTACCTGGGCAGTCGCGGTCGGAAACTTTCGCCTCGTGCAACTGGGCGCATAAGGACTATAACAATAATGCGCTAGACGACTACACGATTAGTTGGTCTCATGAGTACCAAGAGCATCGGAATTCACTTTAGGTCACTACCCAGAACACCCAAACCAGAACTAGTTTAGTAAAGTTCTATTTGAATTAGTCTCACTGGGAATCGAACCCGGGAATTCTCGCTCAGCGCCCACAGTGCAATCCATTGGCACATCGAGTCCATCACAAACTGCTTTTAGCCCAAGAAGAAAAGTCCAAATTAAAATTCAGTGGTTGTGTTTGAAAAAAGTATCCGAAAATCCGAAAATACAGTTTCATTTCCATTTTGTGTAACATTCGCGGAAGCCTCGATTCATACATAAATAATTTACGCTAATATTATTAGCTAAGGGGCGCAGCGTCCTGGGAATCAAATTATCAGACCGACTTAGAAACAGTGATCTGCGCTCCAAAACACGAATCACAGGTGTGGGCCAACAAGCGGGTAAACTGGAATGGGACTGGGTAGGTCACGTCTGCCGCATGTCGGACCATGCGACAAACTAAAGCGTCGATGGAGAGACGAGCTAGACGCGCACGTAAAAGACTGGACCTCAGTGACGCAAAATAGTGAGGTTATAATAAATACATTTTTAAAGATTCGGTGTCATTGAAATATTTACTTTGTCGCATTTATCTTCTGGTTGTTTTTTTGTTTCAGGTCAAACTCCAATAGAGCACGATTCGACGGACCATTTAGGAATAGAAAGCAACGAGCAGCAAAAGATATCCGCCTTCAAATCTTGGAAAAGAGATTTTGATAAAGTGAGTTGGTTCTTAGATAGCTAATCAAAACGTGTAAAATTTCACAACCAGGTTTACTGCTACTACTGAATAAATAATAAATGAATATGTCATGGCAGTAAAACATCATAATATTACATTTAAAACAATAATACGAATGTAAATGACTGTGGATATCATTAATATTAAATATAAGAAATCAGTCTTCTTTGTAATATTATTCAAACATTTGAACTTGATGGCATTGTGTGTTACAAACTAATTTATAAATAAATGCTTACTAATATAGGTAGATGGCGCTTATCCTAAACAAAATAAAAGAATAGCCGACACTATCCATAAAATTCTGTGCAACAAGCGCCATCTAGATGATTTGTTTGTTGTCGCTAGAAACTAGAGTAACTTTGATAAATTGCAGCTTGTCAATGTAAAAGAAATTAAAATTGTCACCAAATAAGAGGCCAAATTTGACACTTGTCATCGTGACGCGAATAGGGATGTAGACTAATCATATCGGTAATCACATTATACGATTTTCACGAGATATCGATTCAAAATTTTAAGAGTTTGCGATTGTTTAGATTATTTTTCGGTTCATTGTTGTTCAGGGGGCCTAAAAGGCTAAATCGTGAAATTTTGTTAAAAGCAATTCATTTACAGAATTCCATGCAGTTCTGTACCAATTCTTCTTATTTTCGTAAAATTGTCCCCATTCCGATGAATTGTATACAATTCTTTTAATTTTAATTTTATAATATTCATAAATGGTTTATTACGAGAATTTAGTGTAAATAAGTATGTTCATCGATAAAACAACTACATAAAAAGATTAAATTACCAACCAAACCAAGAATTTCATAAATTTTCAATTATTCGGCATATATTTATTCAATTATTATTTATACAAATAATTATTCAATTATTTGATGCATAGCATCAAAACGGGCTTTGGGTGCCGAACGCCCTTGTTGTTCCCAATGCATCAATTTTAGATAGTGAGTTTATTCATTTATGGTGCAAATAGAAGTGAATTAATAGTTCAACGGAGTCGATTAGGGTATTTATTCTTCAAAAACGTGCACTAAGAACAATAGTAGGCATAAAAAAAGGTCAGACCTGCAGAAACCTTTTTAAGAAATACAATATAATGACCATGTACTCACAATATATTTATGATATAATAGTTTATGCGCGTCAAAACTTGGCTAATTATGAGCGACGTACGGGCGGAGGCCGAGCGTTACGAAACGCGGGAACACTAAAATCCGTTGCCCACCGTACCGAACTTGCAACTAGAAATCCGCGGGTAATAGGTCCCCGATTCTACGAACATCTACCCACAGACCTGAAAAGTGTTAGAAACGATGAAACGTTTTGTACCCGACTAAAAAACCTTTTATTGGATATTGAATTGTACAGTGCCGATGAGTTTCTTTTGAAACAGTTTTAATTTTATTTTATTCGACAGGCAGTAGTTATACTACTTTATTTTATATTCATTATTATTATTATAATTTTATTACTGACGATCATAGTTATCCCTTGACATTGTATTTCCAATTGCAATATTGTGACATTGATAACATGAAATAAACGATTCTATTCTATTCTATTCTATTCTATTCTATTCTATTCTATTCTATTCTTTTCTAATTACAATATAAAGAATCTTATGCCTACTCAACATTTCCTTCAATATGCAATCCAGTGACCTACTAAGGTGTCGCGTTGCTTCGACACATTACAACAATAACATGATTCGTGTTTGCAGGTAAACCGTCGGATGAAGCGGGCATGCAGACGAGCGGTGAAGTCGCAGACGTTCTACTGGCTCATCATCGTCCTCGTGTTCCTCAACACAGTCGTGCTAGCCAGCGAACATCACAGGTACAAGACTTATCACTCTGAACTGGCTAGATTATGTCACACAAAATACAAGGACTTTAGTCATTCACAAAACTAGTGGAAGAGAAAATTCTCTTTAGTTTTGTAAAAAAAAATTTTCGTTCGTCACAAACGTATGTAACTTGTAAGTATAGGTAGATGCCACCACAGAGAACCGACCCATCTACCTCTCTATGGAAAGGTTTATCCATTGGCCCAAAGAGTAGAGCCCAGGAATGGAACATTGGCCTATCACCGCTCTTGACGTCCATCTTAGCGACAGGCTTTCATCTTTTTATTTTATAAATTAATACAAAACAATTTTTGTTCCAGGCAACCCAGATGGTTAGATAGTTTTCAAGAATACGGAAACGCGTTTTTCGTCGCGTTATTTACATTAGAAATGTTAGTTAAAATGTACAGTTTAGGTCTACAAGTAAGTATAATTAGTTAATTTTTAACTTACAATATAACTATTAGGGAGATGCCACACGGGCGTTGCGTTGTACTACGTATATAAATCAGAATAATAAGCTACATGGTCGCACGGCGCAACGCTGACGCAACGCCCCTGTGGCATCACTCTAATGTTGGTCAAAAACTCCACCCAGGATCAAGGTATAAATAAAAAGTATTGGCCATGTTGATTCTACAATCTTCTCGTCAATTTTTTTTAAATGGTGAATTAAAACACAGCTGTGCGTTAGAGACACCTTGAGGCTCTAGAACGCTACAGAACCAAAATCATTAGAGACACCGTGTGTCTCTAGAACACGTTACATGTTAATATGCGTGGTGGCTACCTAACAGCACTTATTATTGAATAGTATTTATTGAAGTTATTTTTTACTTAGTACTATAATGAGACACGTTATGCGTAACAGGATTGTTCCAAATATCAGCAACAGCATCTGCATAACTTAAAATATTCGCATCAACGTCCGTATTCATCGATGCTGATATTTATTGCTGATGTTCGAGTTATGACATGACCTAAAAGACACGCTGGAGTAATTTACAAACCTCCCAAAAACAGACTGTAAGCCAAAAATGCAGCTCAGTTGTTGTTTTTAACATATAAACTTCGATAAAATTCCTCAACGATGAAGCTAGACAAATTGATCGTTTTCATGAATATTCATTCTGTTCTTGTAAATGTCACAAAATTATTGAATATATATAATATACCAATTATAATCTCATTCATCCCCTAGTTTGCCACCCTTAGAGGTGGAATACCTTCTTCAAATTTAAATGGGACCAACACTAAGATAATCTCTTTCCAACAAAACAAGAATCATCAAAATCGGTTCACAAATACCGGAGTTATCGAATAACAGAAATCCAAAGAAAAAACACACGCTTCATGTAGATAGATTCAGTATGGATGTAAATTTTTCGCGTTTTTTTTTAATACATAAAACCAGCAAGTTTTTGCACATCACCGGATGATGTGTAAAAACTTGCATCAGCAACAACCCTGATGCGTACCGTTCATTTAAAATTTTGCAGTTTAATCACAATACGATACTGTAGTTCATTGCCTTACAAATAAATGGACGACGGGTCTAATACAAAAACCACGAAAAAAATGTCAAAAACGTAGTGACATGTAAAGGAATATGAAAAAGCTAAAACGTTGAATTTAAATTGTAATGTCATCGCAGTACTGTCTAATTTTGCTTACTTCGCTGTCAGTCGAACAAACGAAGACTAAAGCGTGAATGACGCTCTGTATACGATTTTAACGCCCTATAAGTTCAGACACTTTTTAGCGCGGACCCGACGTCCATATAATTGTAAGTCAATGCTGTAGTTATATAAGGTGTGCTGTCATTTTTACGGAATAAATTATTTGCTACTCTATCCTTTTAGGGTTACTTCGTGTCTCTGTTCAACCGTTTCGACTGCTTCGTGGTGATAGGATCGATCAGCGAAATGGTGCTGACCAAGACTGGTGTGATGCCGCCCTTAGGCATCTCGGTGTTGCGTTGCGTCAGGCTTCTTAGAGTGTTCAAAGTTACCAAGTAAGTAATCTCAAGTAACTAAGCCTCTTTCGTTAACTAGAGACGGGAAAAGACAGGATAAGTATCTCTGAATTCCTGGAATTATTTTTAGTTTCTTTTTTTTTATAATACTAAGGGACGAGACGAACAATGAGTCGTCGTACGCCTGGTGGTAAGCGACACGCCTGTCCATAACAGTTGCAGTGCCACTCAGAGCTTTAAATTGTAAAGAGCTGAGGGGCACTGCCACTGCGCCCGTCACCCTGAGACATAAGTTGACTAGTCCCATATGCCCGTCATTTCACCAGCACTCTTACCCTTTAAAACTGGAACGTAGCGATGTTAGCATTACTGCATGGAAGCAGAAATAAGTAAGGTAGGCAGTACTTCCGTGGACGAGCTTTTTCACACGGAGCTCTATTGCTAGTTAAGTAAAGCCGGATTTACATAAGTCTGACGTGTAGTGTCGTAACGCGCCAGAACGGTATTGGTTTCGTACATACAGCACAATCCGTCACATCAGATTACGACACACTTATATAAATCTAACCATATTAAATGTGTGAAACCGATACCGTTCTGACACGTCACGACACGACACGTCAGGCCCCGTAGTGTGCCGCTTCGATAAAGCTATTATATCCACATTTAGCTGTCAAATTCGAGTGATAAACCGGCATCGATTTAAAAATGTGACGTCCCGGTCACATTTTTAGGTCATCGCCAGGGCCGGCGACCAATGACTGCAAAAGATTAACACAGTGCCAAACATGGCTGCAAGGTCGCAGCTGATTTTAAATCATTTGCACAGTAATTTTATCAACGTAAAAATAGAGCGCGACAAACGAGATGAAAAGACATTTATTGTTTCATTGTTTTCGCGGCGATGATTAAATGACAAAGATAGCTTATATACAATTTTACATCGTTGTCATTGTTCTTCAAAATGTATAACAATAGTTCATTACCAAATAAGCAGACTTAGATTTATCAACTGAATTAAATAATGCCACGGGGTGGTTTATCTGCCATGCTACGGCCACTAACGTATGTAAATCCGGCTTTAACTTAGCGCGTACTTAATTATTACATCAAGGTGTCATATATTACCTACTCGTCGCGACATCTTTTGTACCTATAGGCACTAAATACCCGACTACGTTGTCTTGTAACGCGATTAGCAGTATTTCTACAGCTACTGCTTAACATTATTTATTACTACGACAATCTAGCTTGAGATTACTGTTTAAATAGAACTGGAATCCTTAGTCTTTAAATACTCTTTTCAGGTACTGGCGGTCCCTATCAAACCTCGTAGCGTCTCTCCTCAACTCCATTCAATCGATCGCCTCCCTGCTGTTGCTGTTGTTCCTTTTCATCATGATCTTCGCGCTGCTAGGCATGCAGGTCTTCGGAGGGAAGTTCAACTACGACCCTGTTGAGGACAAGGATCGGCACAACTTTGATTGCTTTTGGCAGGCGTTATTGACTGTCTTCCAGGTAAGTTGCCACTAAGAAATTATCAGCAAGTTTTTGTTTTTAGAAATTAAAGAAATATTTGCCAAAATTTCAATCCGTATACAAGTTTATTTGTTTAATACCAACAACCTCACAGGATTATAATTACTAACATCATAACAACGAAAAACAACTTTCGTAAGTAAATGCCTAGCCTATATGTATGACAAGTTACTTCTAAAATAGCCTTCTCACGTCTCGTTTTTACCGAGATTTTCGTGACAGCATTATACTAAAGGTTTAATATACAGCTTTTGCATACTTGGATGATAAAAATCCGTGGTAATGACCCGGTTAGCTCTTGCAGGTAGTCTCAATCTGCGATGTTTGAAATAGATATTGTAAATGATAAATGTCAAATGTATATTTTTAAAGAGCAACCCCTAGAGCTTCTTGCTCATTGTTCTCCAAGGACTGTGCCTTACGCATGAGCAGTAGAGCTTAATTGATATGACAATTTCAAGTATAATTTGCTCACCTATGAAATAAAGGTGATCTGAATTTGAACAAGTCGTGCGCCCGATTTAAAGCTACACGCAAACATCTGAGGGGCACAGCCAGCGCATGCGTCATTCTGAGACATAAGTTGACAAGTCCCATGTGCCTGTAATTTTACCACAACAAAACCGGAACGTAGTAGTGGCCACATTACTGCTTGGCGGCAGAAATAGGTAAGCAGTACTTCCCTAGACGAACTCTGTCACAGTGTTCACAGTACCAAATAGCTGTTTTGTAACTAATTTGTTTTACATTGACACGCTGCAATTTATCAGAGCTACTCTAATTTCTAGTGATAACAAACTAATCCACTAGATGGCGGTTATTGCACAGGCTGTTATGGATAGCACGGGCTATTCTTTTATTTTGTTTAAGATTTGCGCCATCTACCCGTATTAGGAAGCGTTAATTTTTTTTATATATCTATTTTTATTGAGGCTTTAGCCACTGGTTTCCCTACTCAAGAGACATGTTCAAAAACTTGTACAAGTTTAGAGCTCCAATACATAGCCAACAATTAATTTGGCCATTGCATAAACTTATATTCCCAAACATAGTACTCATCAGGGTTACGTTACGATTACATTCCACCAATACATGATACAGATCCTCTATTTTATTGCCAGTACTTCATTCATTTATTCACAATGGGGATGGTTTAAAACTCATCATATTAAAGAATTTACTAATTAGAATGTGACCAGAAGTATTTCCTTGTTATATCGCCAAAATCAAACCACTGTGGATTATTCGGGTTGGTTTTGTACCATATTCCAAGGCCTTTATCCACCGACTGTTCTCCGAAATGATAGCGTTCATTTATAAATTATTTTGTAATCAATGAGTTTCGACCTATATTTAATATTTAAAGTTGACGAGTGGTAAGTTGTGGTGTGGAAGTACCAACTGCTCGGCTTTGTTTATCAATAGCTGATTTCGTTTTGCTTCATACCGGGGACCGGCCTAAGCGGGAGAAAGAATCGCGAACTCAACACGCACCGACTGGTAATTTTACAATTCAGAACCAAGTGTTCTAATAGTAATTCTATTAAGCTGCTTATTAAAAATACGAGGGATGTGCGATGTTGAAAAACACGTCGATATAGTCCATCACAGTGTTTCTAACAGTAACGATCAAACTAGCGATGCATCAGAAATTGATAGATTAATCAAAATGATAAAATGTCAGAATCCCCACACTTTCCTCACATAGCGGCAATCCCCACAAAATCCCCAATATAGTTGAAACTCCCCACAAATTGGCAAAGCTGGATACAATAGTCGTAATTTGCGCTCGGGCCGGTCATGGCCATTGTTTGATGACAAATAAATAAACATTGTGAAGTAATTCCGTGTTGTGAAATGATAAAAACAATTGAAATGAGCGCGTAAACTACTGTACTTCAATGTGTATGTGTATTGTGCCATCTGTCAATAGAATACAGTGAAATCATTGTGTGAAATGTGGTTGGCGTGAAGAAATAACCTCAATTTTGTAATGAAAATTTTATTTCTTCCAACATAAGTTATATTTTAATGACATACATTAAAATATTCCTTATATTTACATGATAGGGAATTTATCCACCTTTCCAGTAATATATAACACATTTCATACAATTATACAGAATAACTTTTTAGCGACAATTTTTTTCAATTGTATTTTTGACCTAGTGTTTTGAAAAGATTTTTATTGCATAATACGCTCACTATTCCTATAACTTTATGAAGGTTTTGTAATACTGTCAAAAGAAAAAATCGCTAAGAAACATCGCGTTTTGTAGACAATCATAAAAACTTCATAGGAGTGAATGTTTTTCTACAAAATCAACTACACTTAAGCAAGTAAAAATAATCTTTAGTTTTTCTATAGATAAAGCTATAGAGCAAATGCTCCCAACTGTGTTTTGAAAAGGCTTTAAATTCTTATCGCCATTTTTATTTTTTAAAGTATGACTATGAAGTAGCCGAGAAAAATTTATTTTCTTTTTAAAAAGTAAATCTAAGTTGAAATTAGCTTGAAGAAGCCTAGAACTTCTTGGCAATGGTTTGTTTTGTGAGTTATTTTGTATATTTAAGCTTTCTATAAATATTTAAAACCGAAAATATATAACTGTACTTTTATTAAGTTTATATTTTATATATAAATATTTAAAATTTAGCGAGCGCATGCATTACTTTTATGGCAGATTTTACATCACTTTTCACAATGTATTTAAAGTCGCACGTCAATTTGCGCTTTCTAACCGATTAAACATTGCGCGAAAAAGTCAAAAATACTATATCTAATTTCGCCATGTTGCAATTTTGATAGTATAAACTATATTAATTATAGTTTAACTATATAGATTTTAATGGCTTACAAAATTTATATTTTGTAAGCCATTGAACTTGAAATCTCTTAGTATTCAGAGAACTGCGTCTTATGTTTGTAATGCTTTAGTATTTTGGTTTTAAAATAGCATTACTAAGATAACTTTCATAGACTATAAATTATATAAAAACTGTCAACAAGACTAAATAAAAACTGTCTACGTTCTACAAATTGTCATGTAGCATTCTAGAAGGGTTACTTGAGAAAGAAGATAAGAATCACTCTTAACACTACCTACAGATAGTTTCTCAAAGCACTCTTGTGATCTACTAATAAAGTTGTGCCCACTTTTACTTTAAATTATCTAGAAACCTTCTTCGAGATATCTTGAGGGAATTTGAACTCTTAAAATATTCACTCGAATTCAATTCTATATATAGACTACTTCCAGGCTATTGACTAATGCGGATGATTAATGCAGAATTTTGACTTTTCTCAGAGCTAGATGATGATTACCAGTCCCTTTGCGTTATAGGTCCATGGTAAAATTAAGTACCAGGTGCGATATGTTACTTTTATTTCGTACGTCACTTTTTCGTCAGTTTCTCAAACATAATAGTTTTGTTTAGTATAATGTTGTCGGTTCTTTATTCATTGTATTTCCAAGTTTACTACAATATTTCTGATCTCTTTCAGATTCTGACTGGCGAGGATTGGAATGCTGTGATGTATGAGGGCATCAAAGCTTACGGGGGCGTCGGTTCCGTCGGCATCATTGCCTGTGTCTATTTCATCATTCTTTTTATTTGCGGCAACTGTATCCTTTTTTTCTCAATTATTATAAGATACCTCTCAAGTCAAAATATCATTTTTGCATTTTAATTATATCCTTTTTTAAAGAAAAAAGTAAACATGACAAACGCTAAGTGATTTACTTGTAAATATGTGGCTTTATTGAAAAGGGGTACAAGTCAAAAAAGCCAACAATACAAGAAAACGTGTGTATATTAAGCTTTAACTGTTTTTCGCGTCTCCTTGTAAAGTTGGGTTTTTTTTTACTTGTACGCAATATGCATAAAATATATGTATTTGACTTAAAAAATAAAAAAATGGTATTTTGACTTACAACAACTTACGTCGTCTTACATGATTTGAAGAAAGTACACCTCTAAGGGTGGCAAATTAGGGGATGTTTCCGTTTTATTGGATTCTACACACTTTCCGTTAACCGATTTCATTCCACTAACTTTTGAGGTTGATTTTTTTAATAAAAATGTTATATGTAATATATAATGTCATATTGAAAATATCTCATCTGACAATGATAACACTAATCCTTTTTGACTGTACAAATTGAACCCCAATTCATAATTTGACAATCTAAGTGGCCCACCACTGAACACCATGTTACATAATGAAATAGGAAACAAAGTTTTGTAATTTGGTTCTGGTTTGGAATTATCATCCCTTTGTTTCTTAAATCGATCAAAATGGAGAACTATGTTGCATCGAGTGAACATCACTAATCGTAAAATTTGACCAAAAACATGACAAAAAGCCGTACCACGAAACTGAATGCATTATACGAAAGTATCGCTCGTTCGATATTCATGGCCTACTAAAAAGGATCACAAGTGTACCGCACCAAGTAAAAGTCGCAATGTATTACGACACATGCGGCATACACTCGTTTGCATATTTGTTTTCTCGAAATTCATTCAAAATGAAAATAATTTATTTTAAAATAAATTAATGCATATTCTGATTACAAAATTACTTAACTGCGGAAGGAATATAATTCATAGCTATTTTGTTTTTGCAATTTTTAATGGCATATCAAGTCATTTTTCGCGTTTTCGACTGGTATTTAACTACGATAACGACCGGGCGCGTTCTGAAGCGTAGCAGCGGCAACTAAGTGTTTATAGCTTACATTGGGCACGCGAAGTAGGTACATTTCCAGCGTCTATTTAGATATATGTCTCTGTGAGGAAGTATCGACTCACAGAGCCACCCGCTGGGCTTCAGAACCTATGTGTACTAACGTAATAACCACAAGGGAGAATTACAACTGACATAATATTTCCTTATCGATCACCCGTACAGACATCTTGCTGAACGTCTTCTTGGCTATCGCTGTAGACAACTTGGCGGACGCAGAATCTTTGACAAACATCGAAAAGGAAGAAGGGGTATGTATGGTCGACGGGACGCAGGAGAGGAACGCTCTGGACCAATCACATTACGCGATTTACTCGCACAGCAATGATAGTTATACCGATCAAGTCATGGATCAATGCGCAGCGAATGAAAGCGGAGCCACTGAAAATAGTATTGATGGGTTGTGGACCATTTCACGATAATAATTAACCAATTACAGCTGTAATTGATTGAAACTGATTTGCGGCAATGGTTAATTGTTTAATTATAAATATGAAATGGGCAGGGCTGGTGTGTGGCTGTTGGTGCTGTGCAAGGCCGCCGCCTAGCGCTGGCTAGGCGGCCTTGCCTTGTGGTGCTGACCACAATGCAATAGGAATTTTGAAAAATAACATTTGTTATTTCAATATCTCTAATTTCTAACAAAACTAATTAAACAATTTGTTATAATTAAAGGGCGGTGAAGAGAAAGAAGCGGGCAGTGTGGTAGAACAAGAAGGTGTGCATGCGGACACTGATGACGAATACATACACGATGACGATGCCTACACTACTGATAAGTATGTTTAAACCAATAAGAAGCACGGAGATATACAAATGTGACTATGGGTACAACAAGACTTTTTTTATAGCACTTGGTACTAATAGTATGTATTTTGTGTACTGCCTGCGTAAAGATATCGCAATTGACATAATTGTTTTAATTAGGATGCACTTTAAGACCATTCCAAATATTAAAAAAATGTCCGCCGACAGTTACCACTTCTTGAAGATCTCATAAGAAAGCAGGCTTAAAATACCGGCTTTCTTTCACAGTTCTGAAAGGGAATATGAAGAAACTGGGTCGGAAGGCGAACATAACGAGGAAATAGAGGGTGAAGAATTGGGTGAAGGCGGTGATGAGGACGGCGGTGAGAGAATTGAAGAAGAACAGGATAGAGAAGAGGATAGAGATATGATGGAGACTCATCAAAGGAATCATATTGGTAAGGAATATTTTGCATTATAGTCATAAATTTCTTTAAGAAAATTCAGTAGACAAAATAAATTATTACCGTTACTATGAAAACCTGCGAATCTTTTAAATTTCACTTCATTGACAACAAAAACTCTTTGAATATCGACGTTATTTTTATAGTCTGCTTCCAATACGAATTTTATCTAAAAAACGAAATAGTAATCGATCACTCCATAGGTACCATAAATAGTAATAAAACTAGTATACTGTTTTATATATCCAAACGAATTTCTCATTAACTGGTGTTAAATTTTTTTAACATTCTCATAATAATGATTTTTATCTTATATTTTAAATTTATTTTGTGACTTTATTATTGGAAGTGTGGTATTAAGAATTAAAATTGTTTCAAATTTAACAGTGTTCTTTTGAAGCTAAATTTAACAGTAACTATGTTAAGTTACTAGCCGGTTACAACTCTAGCAATAAGTGCAATCCCTTCCCCAAAAGCTAATCCTCCAAAAACAGTGAACACAGATATAGAAGAAGAGCCTCGTTTGAAAAGAAAGCCAACAACATCATCAGCTCGGCCCCGAAGAATGTCCGAAGTCGATATTCACGACAATAAGAAACCTATCCCAGATGCTACGTCGCTCTTCATATTTTCCAAAACGAACAGGTTAGGGGCTGGCGAACGGCGGAGAATTGATGCTTCAAAATTATTAGATGTTTTTTTCTAGACATTCTATATTATCTATAGGGTCCTACATAATTTATCTAGGATCTTTTAACTGGTGATTATAGTTTTGGTTAGAATTGCTTTATTGAATAGATGAATAATCATCATCAACCCATTTATACGTCCGACAGCTGGGCACGGGTCTTCTAGATTAATAATTGAGTCTTTGATTATTACTTTATTTTCTTTCTATGCTACGCTGATCTAAAAATCTGTGGAGACCAAGATGACTATAAAATCGATTACTATCAATCTATCAAAAACAGTAGTATCAAAAATACAATAAGTAAGTGTTACTAGTCAAAACGCAATGACGTCTTCCTCGAAAGGGAATTTGATTATAATAACCAGTTAGAAAATCCGAACACTTCTTATATTATTTTTTAATTTGTCTTTGATACGCCTCTTTGACTTCTTTAGTTTAATAGCAATTTTATTACTTAAGTTTGCTCTAGTTTTAGCTATCAAAGACAAATCATTATGTTTATTACGCCTTGCGTCTTCCATAAATTTAATATTTTCATTTCTTTAATACGTCTTAATAATTATTATATTATTATTTTTCACACCTTTAGCTGTTTTTCTTTTGTTATGTTTGCGGTTTCTAATTTACAATAAATCTTAAAGAAATATTTACAAATTCACAGGGATTTCAGCATGTGTTTTATGAACACTTAAAATAGTAATTTTAGAATTTAAGGTATAACAATAGATTAGAAATAGTTGTAACGAAGTAGACTGTCATATCTTTCTATCTTACGAAGATGGCGGCCAATCAGAAGAGGAGGGAACGCTAGTAACCGCCAGACCACGGCGAGTTTCAGAACTGAATATGCCAAATCAGACGCCGCCCATTCCAAACGCTAGTAGTTTCTTCATTTTCTCACCGACAAACAGGTGATTTGGTGACGTCATAGTACCCGTGTCTCATTGTGAAACGACCTGATTGGCTATTATACCATTGGCTATTACATCTTTCATCTGTTTGATGTCACTATTCCTCAAAATTCTATCATTTGTTACAAAAACTGCACGGGTGTTGTCTATGAATGTGAGCTCCAAAATTTTAAGTCAATGAGATGACTGGGTACTCGTGTTTCCCTATAGGTTTGGTGTTAGATTCGTGGATTAGATTTCAAAGCATGTTCCTGAAATCCCTCTAGTCTCATAAAGAATTAGAAAAAAATCCTGCTATAATTCTAGAAACTGCGATTACTTCCTTGAAAAACTGCATGCGTTTGGTGTTTTTTTTTTAATATCATTTATATAGCGTGTTTTAGTTGCATGCGCTTTAATATAACAAAATAATAATACTTCTAAATACCTATATCAATGTTTCTTCTTGATAACAGCTTTAGATGTTGTGAATATTAATTGGAAACATACACGTTATTTAATTCATTCTATGGATGTTGTCAGTAGTAATAGGTATGTATTTCAAAAACAAATTTTCCATATAAAATCATTTGATGTTCAGAATTAGGAATCTCAAACTATGTTTCTTATCTCATTAAAACATCGCTGTTTGTTTAAATTTAATATGCCCATCCACAAGCAAAGTTACCTTATGATAATTTCGTGTTAATTCTTTCTAATTGGTACAAAATATCCGATATTATCGAGTACTATAAGTCTGCCTTTTTTTGAAGACGGAGTAAAATGACATTGGCAGGGTTGCAAGTTTTCATAAAATTTTAAATAGTCATGTAGTTGTTGTCGATTGTTTTATCGATAGATTGTGGAAAAAGTAAAATTTCGACAAAAGTGTCTGAATTGTGAAAATACAACGTTCTAATGATAACTAATTGCGTTATTGTCTTTTTTATTCTTATTTTGACAGTTGGGCTATAGTATCGAAATTAATTTTTATTCATATAAATTTTTACAAAGACCGACGGATTTAAAATATGTCTCCTTTTTGTATTTTTAATACACACATAAGACATAGTTCTTAACGTAGTGTATGTATGAAAGCGACAATTCAAATGAACCTGTTCCCAACACTTGCCAATGCGGGACCAGTAATTATTCAAATGATACAATTTATTTATTTATTGCACAAGCGTAATCACTTTCAGTCGATCGACTGCAATCAAAGCTGCGCACAAGCCTGTAACTCTTTTACGCAATGAACTGTCATTTTACTCCATCTTCAAAAAAGACAGACTATAAGAAGTTCGGAACCTTTCATCTCTGTGTCGTTGATGTAACACCCATTCGCAACAACCGCTTTGCTTTCTTAACGAGCGGCAAATGAATGGAATAAACCGCCTATATCAATATATCCCGAAAATAACAATATGAGGTTATAATTATTAATACAAAGGTCGAACACTCAGAAAAAATTCCTTCGATCCGGCCGGATTCGAACCGACGTCTTCTAGCTTAACATGCCAGACGCTATACCAAGCCACGGAACGAACCTGCGGACCTCACGAATTTTTCTATGTGCTTGCATCGTATCTTTGCATTTGGTTTTTCAACGACTTGATGAGAAATCTATGATATTTCGTCTCATCGAAGACATCGGTTCGAATCCGGCCGGATCGAAGGAATTTTTTCTGAGTGTTCGATCTTTGTATTAATAATTATAATAAAGTAATGGAGTAGCTTCACGTAAAAATAATTGAATACAATTCAATAAAAATTTAAATGTTAGGTTATTCAGAACAGTTCTTCGTTTAACATCAGGAGGAGATACACCCATTTTCCCGTAAAGAGCATACCCCAAAAGTCCATATGAGTCAATGCCAACCATAAGGTACCTTTACTTCTGACCTGGCGCTATTACAGCTTGATCGTCATGAGTACAGAACCCCTTGATCTGCGGGACGCAAATAAAAAACGATTAAAACTTATCAACTTCATGGATGAACGTTGACCTCTGCAGTATAAGGATAATGGATCGCAAGCGTTTTCTTCCTGGGTCCCGTAGAACATGAGAAACTGAGTCAATGTTTGTTAAACTGCTGTAATCATCAGGAAACATTATATGATACCAAATTTCACACTTTATTTTCCAAACCCAGGTTTCGTGTGTTCTGCTACAAGGTGTCAGCATCGTCGACCTTTGGTAACATCATTCTGGTCTGCATCATGTTGTCTTCAGCCATGTTGGCGGCTGAGGACCCTCTAGATGCTGCGCAGAAAGGATCTAGAAATTGGGTTTGTATCTTTGTACTTTTACCAAAAGTTATATATATAAGATAGCAGATGACAAACGAAAGCATGTTGGGCAACATCTCCTCTATAAAGATGTACTCAAAGGTAACTAGACACTTGTGCTATTGATCCTCCAAGTTGAGAGAGGTCATCTTACAGGTCGTCTTGGCGAAGCCATTCGAAACAATAAAGGATATTATAAATACGTCAAGAGAGACCTACGACCTCCTATACTTTCACTTTTAACTCTCCAGGTGAAATTCATTACTTTGTTTGTGACATTTAATCGAAATTCGGTATGGCGAGTCATATTAGGGTAGGGACACATTGGCAGATTATTAGAGATATATATTCATAGCCTCTTAAATCTTTATCCTGAATGTAAGTTTTATGTCTCAACAAATAAGTGATTTAAATTAGAACTAATTCGTGAAACATAATTACTTGTATTAAACGAACTTTGAGTGCTCTAGAAAAAGGTTGATTACATTACTCAAGTACGTAAGGCATATAAAGTTTATAGGTATATCACAAAAAATGTCACTTCTGTAACAAAGTTATTTTACGCAACAGATTGCCATAACTAGCTATTAACGTTTTATAGTTCCATAACTTTCCACTAGATGGCGTTAACCCATTTTATGCATATATGAAATCGTGGTGTTAAGATTTCCCTCGAATGGTGACAACACCGACCAAATTTCGTTTACGACAAACAAACAACGCCGTTGTCTGCGAGTCGAGTCCTTAGGCAGACGGCACCACGAAACAGCTGATCGTCACTGTACTATCCCTCTGGTTCTAGGGTGAAAAACTTTATCTGGTATCTTGTAACAAATATACATAATATGAACAAGAATCGACTTTTTACTGGATTTCGTGACGTCATCACGCAAGAACCCTTCCACTTTTAAATTTTTGTATATTTTCTGTTATCCAGTTGCTCAGCCAATTCGACGTGTTCTTCACGGCGATCTTCACACTGGAGCTGTTCCTCAAGCTGGTGACGTATGGCCTGATCTTTCACGAGGGTGCCTTCCTCCGCTCTGCCTTCAACGTGCTCGATATGCTCGTCGTCTGCGTGTCGCTCGTTTCTATAGGTTTTAAGTAAGTTTCTTTCTTCGGCAGCTATTATAGCTTGACTACCATAAACACAGTTGTCGCATAATCTGCGGGATGAAGAACGGGGCGCGGAAAGTGTTTGGTAAAGCCGACCCAAAACCTTAACAAAAACTTCTTTTGCCGTTAAAAAGGTGCCTTGTGACACTTTATTTAAACAATACTTATTAGCACAACAACACACAAATAATACACTTCATTTCACTGATTAACTTATTGTACAATTTTATTAAATTGAATACCATAAGTAAACAAAGTTTGATATCGCGATGGTGACAGCAAGTAGCAAGTGTTGCCATTTTAATCTTTAATTGAAATTACTATTTATTTAATTACTAACTACATAACATAACATGAACGTTTACGTTCTTTACGTAGCCCGATTAAAATAAAACAACCAAACGTTCCAATTTCGTAACACTATTTATCGTTGACGTAAATTGATGAGAAAACCTTCAACACAACTTTCTGCGTTAAATCAGTGACATTGACCTTTTTAAGGGCGACCTGTGTCCACGTTAAGACGTTTATGTTTAAATCACAACCCTCATAAGGACTATATTGTTTCAGGCTGATTGGTATGAGTTCCGGTAGTATATCGGTGGTGAAGATTTTGAGAGTGTTCAGGGTGCTGAGGCCTCTAAGAGCCATTAACAGGGCCAAAGGCCTGAAGGTCAGTATTTCGCTCTACTTTTATTTTTAAAAACATCTGCGAAGAGGCCTATGTTCAGTAGACGATTACTAGCCGAAATCGGTGCAGAAGGAAAGATCTGATTCAATGACCTGGAAACAAACTCTAAAATCCTTACGCTCCATCAGTGCCATCTAATTTTTGACAACACATGAAAAACTGGATACGCTGATCGAGTAGGTTTTCTTATTCGAACAAAAAACAAATATATGCAATTTAGATCCGAAAAAAAGCTTCATTTTCCATTGCATACACTTAGTCCATCTTCTTGATATATCTCAACGTGGACTGATGGTAACTTAATTTGAACGGCCTTAAAGACCCTATCTGGAATTTTGTGGACAGACGTCTTGACAAGTTTTCTTCTATTTATAGCACGTTGTACAATGCGTGATCGTTGCAATAAAAACGATCGGCAACATTTTGTTGGTCACATCATTACTACAGTTTATGTTCGCGGTCATGGGCGTTCAAATGTTCAAGGTAGGGGGCTATTTCTACAACTACAGCCCTCAGGCTGCTCCTATAAAGTTGTTATAGAACGTTATATAACTTGTACGTCTGTTATTGTTATAATGTGTGTTATGAATGGTATAAAAGTCACCTGTACAAGAATTCTGTTCTGCAACTAAATTCTACTGTTATGAAAAGTTATTTCACAAATGTTATATAACGTCTTATAACATCCGTGTAGGAGCTTAATTTTAATCACCCTTTCCAATATCCACGAGTGTCAAAAATCACAGTTTGGAGTTTAACATTAAATTTTCATTTACACCTTTGGGTCCTAATGTTTCCTTCATCTGTCCTTCTTGTTTACTCTGTGTGTATCTCTTCATTACGTTACTCATTTCTCATGATTTATTTATATTTATGTAAATATATTCATTTAATATTGATTTGTATTTGGGTGGTACCTATTTCTTGTATTTGCTTGATGCGCAGCTATATAACTGAGTGCGCATTTTTAATGAGGAAATTAAGTAATATTATGGAAAATACAACCACCTCCATTTGGATGTGAGAACCATTCACATTTTTACATTGTCTACAGACATAATATACCTTCATCTTCCCGCTCACCTACTTAGTTAACTTGACACGCGCAAAAGCTTGCGATAAAAACTGATCTTTATTATGTTATATTGTTTATTGGAATATTTCTAGTTCCGCAAACAATATACTAAATATGCTGAATATACAAAGGAAAAAAAAAATGCCTACGTGTATACATATAACGACAATTATAATAACATAGCATTAAATGAAGGAAATAATGAACTAAATATGCTTAGTACACACGAAAAAATAATTCTACCTGTATACGTATAATGTACAGAATGTAATAGTAATTATCATTATATGTATACATTTAATGTATAAATAATGGTAATTATCAATAATAGGCAATTAAAGAGGACTATACTTTGGTGTATCGTACCTTGGGAGCTGACAGTGTGTCCTCTTTGGATGATTGAGTTTATACTTTGGGTGAAACAGCTGCCAGTTTAGTCTCTGAAGTTTTCTTCAAGGCATACTGAATGTTTAATTTATTTCTGCAAAACATCGCTTTACTTTTTTGTTTATTTTATGTTATTTCGTACATAAAACAGTAAAATATATTTTCTAAACAACTTTCAACTAACATTAATTAAAACATTATCATCACAAACAACTTTATCAACTAAAGACATAACAGGTCATCATTAAAACTTAGAAGGTTAAGTGTACAAAATAACTGGGTTTGTTTCTGTGTCGTTTAACAAAGCATGTTAATGTCCAACCCAAAGGTGTACCCTACCGTCGACTAAAAAAAAGATAGAAAGCATAATTCCCCCTACCTTGGCGTTCAGAGTTTCCTGTAATTAAAAAATCGTGTAAGTGTTTTCTCCTGCCTTGTATAAAGGGTGATATTTTAAGAATGTTTCGAAAAAAATAAATAACGTGAAAACGCAGTAATAATTATATTCTGAATTCTGTAGAAAAATATTGGTTTTTTTATAACTAATATTGTAATTCGGAAAACTTAGTTTCTTACATAATAATTATTTTGAATTTTGGCAATTAGAGAAACCAAAAAAATAACTAAAAGCACATTCACGTACATAATCCGTACAGAAGTAGCTAAATTTAAACAAAATAATAAACGGTAATGTTTGTTGAAATGTATAATATTTTATACACAAAAACACTTACGTAAATTGAAATTAAATTTGGCTACGTGTATACGTATAATGTATACATAAGAGTCATTTATTCGTCATTATATTCATACGGTATTATTGCTATGGCATTATATGAAGGAAATATTACAAAAGAAGGTTAATTTTAGAAAAAAAAAAGAAACTAGGAAAAGAAAGAAAAAGTTTTAATCGAGGCCCAGCAACGCATCATCTTTGGATGGATAAGGTTCAATTTACACTTAATGTCTTTTTTTTAAAGATGGAGTAAAATGAAATTTGCAGGGTTGGCAGTTTTCGTAAAATTTAAATAGTCATGTAGTTGTCGACAATTGTATCGATAGGTTGTGAAAGTAAGTCAAATTTAGTCAAAATGTCAGAACTATGAATGTTACGACATTATATTGATTACTAACTGCGTTATTGTATTCTTTTTTCTTATTTTGATGTATTATTGTCAAAATCATTTTTAGTCATACACATTTTAATAACGACAGGCGGTTTTCGATTATGTATATTAAATTAAAATGAAAAACTTTAAAGTATGTCTACTATTTGTATTTTTAATAGACATTCTTCTAAATTTAGTGTACGTATGGATTAATTAAAAAAAAAATTATTGTAATGTTCCTATGCCCATCAGTCGGACGCATAATGGACCGATGATGAATCAAATGAAACTAGTTCGGTTATTTACACATACATTCAGTCGATAGTCGATAAAATATTGCTTGCTTGAGCTTGCTGCAAGCGGGGCAACACTTTAACGCAATGAACTGTCATTTTACGCCATCTTCAAAAAAGACTGCCTACAGATATACGAGATACAGCGACTGCGCGAGGATTCTCCAGAAGACGCGCGACCTGTTTCTTGGCCCGTATCTAGTATATACGTTACACAATGGCCATAAAGTTATGGCATATTATATTAGTAGCAATTAGTAGCAGTAGAGCTCCTTGTGAAAGGGTTCGGCCAGGGAAGCACTGCCACTTTTCCTATTTCTGCCGCCAAGCAGTAATGTCAGCATTACTGTCTTCCAGTTTTGAAGGGTAAGGGTGAAATTACGACTTGTTTCGTCCCGTCATTTGATATTGTAAAAAAAGTTGACAATGCTTTGTTTACAAAAATCCGCTTCTATATAAATTGAATCTAATCTTATTCTTTAGTGGAAGCAACTGCCAACCATTTTGTGTATACATTATATTCATGTAAAAGCTTAGTGGTACCGCAACTTTGGTACTTGTGATAACGACAAGAAACGTCCAAAGTTTCAAGGTTGATATGCACTTGATTGTACGTGACTGTGCAACGGTTACCCTTATCTGCGTTTACCTTTATTTTTTTTACTCTAAACATTAATAAAATCTTCATATTACACGTGTCCTGTAATTTAAAAAAATGGTTTGCTTGTCCTTTATGTCCGTGCTGCGTACTCCGGATTGGATCCTTTACCCCCTTGGTAATGTACCCTGAAACTAACTCGCATGACGTCATGTAGTACGTGGTCAAATGTGTGATAGTAGCAATTAAGACTATAGGAAATATAATGCTAGTTACATATTTATTACAATTCATGTTCGCTGTAGTTGGTGTACAGTTGTTTAAGGTAAGTACTCACGACAATTATTTGGAAAATAAATTAGTGATGCAACGGAAGTGTCAAAACGGAAATGGATGTTAAAAGCAAATCTGAGCGGAAACAGTAGCGAAGCAATCCGCGCGCATGCCAATTCAGTCGCGAACGTTCTAAAAATTGTATTATAAAAGTAGCGGAAGCAGAAACGGAATTAGGTGTGAAAAAGCGTATAAAAAGAAGCCGAGTTCTGTTGCATCCCTAAAAAATCATCTATAGAGTTTTTAATATTTTTTTTAAATAACCCTTGGTTCGTTATTAGAAGGTTTTATCAGATGTATTATATATTAAGTTGGGTGCGTCATATGGAAACCGAATTGTGTTATCCAATAGTTTTTCATATTAATCAATTTTGTTTAGACATTAAATGAAGGACGTACACTAAGTATGTTATTCATTAACATAGAAAAAAAATACATATTTGCCACCTCTAACTCACGTTTGTCTAAACGTTAGTTGTTCTAACAATTCTAATTTCGTGTTAATAAAAACATAACTTAAAGTGCTTTTTGTAAAAACAGAAAGAAGTCTAAATGTTTCGAATTGCGTAAATAGGTTGCCATTTTATCCTACAAACATGCAATAGTGTTATTTCTTTAAATTGTTAAAGTATTTAAAATTGCGTTACGTCATGAGGCGCCTTTTAAAATATACCTACATGTACTAGTAGTTATGTATTTAAGTCTTAAATTGCATGCTTGTGTTTTAAAACATGCTAAATAGTTATTTTCATCATGAGAAATGGGTTTTAAATTTCACAAATTTATTTTTAGCTAAGGCATCTGACTTTTGACACAAATAACCTGAAGTGCTTTTTATATTCAGCTTTACTGGCCGTCGCACGTAATATATTTAAATTTTTATTTTGTCAAAGTGTAACGCTGTAAAAGAGGTTAGAAATTATCATAAATCACACTGTACCATTTTCGAAAATAAAAATGAAAATCTTTCATTCAAGAATATATTTTTCGTTCTATTAATCTAGTACTTGTTTCAGGGTAAATTTTATAAATGTACAGATGTTTCGAAAATGACGCTGGAAGACTGTCAGTAAGTTTTTTTTATTAATTTAGTCTTCAACTATTTAACTTAAGGCTTAATACATGCAGCTGTAGCTCTAAAAACCACTGTGGGTTTATCCGTCCACAGCCATTCGCTCTAAAAAAATATTTTTTAGTTTGTTTTTACATTCTCCTTCCACATATGAATCTTGAATGCACGCAGGCAATTCATTCAGTAATTTAGGAATTACATAATCTAATTTCCGAGTAAGTAATATATGTTAATAACAATTAATTGTCTCTTATTTAACTGCGAGATAGAGTACAAGTTTCTTTTTATAGGAAATCTATATAAATCATGCTTTACTACTTATTTGTACACTGTGGAGTAGAAATGCTAGACGCGTAGGTCCTATTCCCGTCTTTCTATTACAATTATATATCTAAACACAATTTTAATTGACTTAGAACTCCAAGGCAGACAGCTACATTGCCCAACACGGCCAATACAAAGGGATCTAATATTGTATTTTTTTTTATATTCTTGACTTATTATGACGATCTCAATAGACCCAATGGTTTTTATCAAGGCTAGGTCAAGGTCAAGGAAGTCCCGGATTCAATTCCTGGTACAACTAATTTAGGAAATAATTTTTTAACTCCGTTGTTCTAGTACTCATAATACAGACAATTCTCTAGTTTGAAACCAGGTAACTGGTGTGATTGTCCGGCACCCTGTTATTATTATTATTATTATTTAAACCTTTAATGTATACCGATACTCATACGTACGTTGTTGTAAGGCACAAAATTCAAAGTCAAATTATTTTTTTACTTTTTAACTTGATATACAGGCTGTATATTTGAAAGTGAGACATTCATACATGTCATAGTAAATCATGTTACAACTTAATATAGCCTAAAACAAAATTAGGATATGGGATAGAACAAAAAAAGAAATCAACAAATTTGTTTTGGAGTGTACATAGGAATAAACCGATTCCCTTTACGCTTGATTTCGAGTGCAATGGGAATACTACCAAGCGAGCGCCGAGTGAGACAGCAACAACAACAATGATTTCTCATCTCCCTTCCCACTAAAAGAACCTCTTTTCTCTAGAAAATAAAAACTAAGTTACTCACCTACGCATATTTAGGTTTTGACGAAAAAAAGCTGTTATCGAAAGGATTACGTTTTAGCTTATGCTAATTATTTTTTACTTCTGAACTATCGTCGAAATGTTTTACGTACTAAAAAAGATAAGTTTATGATTTAGTAACTAATTATCATTTAATAAGAATTGAGGTTTTAAGGTAAGGTGAGGAAAATGTGAAATCAAGTTATTTACAATGATTGATTTTTAGTTATTTACACTTACGTGTTACGGAGCAAGTGTTCAAAATGTCCACCGTTTTCCACAATGCATAGTCTAGCACGTCGTAGTAAATTTTGTTTTAATTTAATCAACACAAACACATTTTGTCTCACAGTATAAAATGCTGAAGTAATCCTCGTACGCAACACTTCGACACTACTCACCTCCTCCGCGTAAAACTCCGGTTTGGGAACATTTCAATAGCTCGTCTCACACTATCACCACTTATTGCGTAAATTCGACATTAGAATAAATATCTATTTTGCGCGAGCGAGCGGAAGTACAAATAATTTACGTATCTTCGCTAGACCAAGGTGGCGCGTGCACTGTCTCTATGCGCCCGTGCCCCCACCCCCGACCTGTGCTTTGATTTTCGCCGCCGTGCCGCAACTCGCCGTTGCGTCGGAGCAATAATAGTGATGTGCATAGATTTCGATAACTAATGTTGTTCAAAATAAAAAAATATTTTTTTGTAAAGTTTAAGTTCATTAGTTTATTATTTCTTTGAGTTCAGAATCAAGAATATAACGCACTCTATAAGTATGTCCCACTTACAAACGTACAGCCTGTATATATTATAGATTCCATGTTTAAAAGCAAACAAAACACTAATATAGGTTTTTTCTTTACTATTTGTTATGTTGTATGTTATGTTTACTTTTAAATATGAAACCTATAATATAACATATTAAATGAAAAAGTAAAAAATATTTTTTGCAGCTCACAACAACTTTCCATATTAGCTTATTGTATGTTTAGAAAGAAAGAAAGAAAGAGCTTGGTGCGCCAAGAAAAGAGAAATTGTCATTTATTTAAAGCAATTTTTTTTCTGTTATAAAATGTTTTATAACACGTTATAGAATGTGTCATTTATAACAGCATTGTTCACTGCTATGAAATGTTTTATAACACGGTATAGAATGTTTTATAGACGTTACAGAGAATTTTATATACGTTATAGAACGCTTTAGCTACGTTGTAGGAGCATCGTAATACTGGTATTGTCTATCCTTTTCCTACATTTAAATCTGTCAAAAACACTAGCCGAGTATGTGTAATGTTTTATAACAGACTTTTCAAGTTACTGTACTTAAAGAATTCACATGCAAGGCAGTGCACAGTCCAGTTCTAATAAAGATTATTATATATTTAAACGCCATATTTTTTAGGGGAACGTACTTGTCATTTGAAAACGACAAGTACGTGGTGAAAGAGCGCCATTGGGAGCGGAACAGCTTTCATTTCGATGATGTCATGAAAGGAATGCTCACCCTCTTCACCGTTTCCACGTTTGAGGGGTGGCCCAAGTAAGTTATTAGTAATAATAATTCGTATTCTTGGTATAATAGAATAGAAATTTTTTATTTCAGCCATATACCCATATAAATTGTTAGTAACAATTTATTTAAAGTAGGTTAGTATTTATACATCAAAACAACACAAAAACTATTTATTTATTATACATAATCTCAGTCAGAGTACTAAAAAAAACCGACAAAGCTAAAGTAAAACAACAAATAACATAACAAAAACAACAAAGCAAGCTTTAAATAGTTAACACAATTCAAATGAATACCATATGCGCGGGTATTGGTTTATGGGATAGGTTTGCCAAGATTGTACAAGGTGACGATCCATAACCTTATAAATAACACTAATCTGTTTGTTCCAGTCTGTTGTACGTGTCCATAGACTCGAACGCGGAGGATCGCGGTCCCATTACTAACTTCCGTCCAATTGTTGCAGCCTACTATATTATTTATATTATCATTATTGCCTTCTTTATGGTATGTATTGTTTCACTATTCAACCTGTAAGCGTGACCAGAGAGCGGGTGCGAGTCGGACGCGTGTCGGGTGGTGAGCACGGGGGGTCTCGACTTGCACCCGCGCGTTGTGTTGTCGTCCGTATAAATACACGGAATTACACCCGCCGTGCACCCGATCCGACACGCACCCGACCCGCACCCGCTTTATATGTGTTTCACGCTTTATTTCGTCTCTATCATGACTACTTATTATAACTAGTATTAGGGAACATTTTTCAGCGCGACGTATTTTCGATTAAGCACTTCTTGAGCTGTGTTTTATAATCTCCATACTTTTCATCTCGTACACAACTCCACACAGCACACTCGCATAGCTTTTTTACTTTCTTAGTACATTCGTTTACGTTAAACTAAATTTTAATTTGCATTATTTCGCCACGAATGAAATAGAATGTAAAAAGACCGTCTTAAGAGTAAAACTTACAATGAAACAGAGGACTTGCTGGAAGTTGTTTCTTAATTATTTTTATATGGGTAACCATTAATTTATAATTACTAATTATTTTATTGTTAAGTATAGAAAATCTCCTTCTAAGCTGTAATATAAAGAAATTTGCCCAAGAAGATGCCTAAAATACAGGTATACATTTCCTTAGTTTAGATATCGCAATTACACATTAGATTCTAATGTTAAAATGTATAGCTTTACTATGAAGAATATATAATTTAGATTTCCTTGTTTATTCTTATTTGAATACTATAATAGCTTTATTTACATTTGTTTTACTTATATTGTATTAGATTAAGTTATTTTGAAACAAATTTATCTTTATATTATACTGCAGATCGTAACTCTGAAAAAGGTCAAAATTTCATCTTACCAATAGCCTGGAAGTCGTTTGTAAATGGCCGTGATATCAATGAATTCCTGTTTAATATGAAATATAAGAAGTAATTTCTTTTTTCTTGTAATATTATTCAAATATTGATGATGGGCTGAAATTTTTTTCTGAACTTCGACAAATATTCATGTCAATAGAGGGCATTGTGTGTTACACACTAATTTATAAATTAACGCTTCGTAATACAGGTAGATGACGCTAATCCTAAACAAAATAAAAGAATAGCCGGCACTATCCATAAAATTCTGTGCAATAAGCGCCATCTAGTTGATTTGTTTGTTACCACTAGAAATTAGAGTACTTTTGATAAATTGCAGCTTGTCAGTGTAAAACAAATTAATAGCTATTTGGTTCTCGTCGCGACATCTGGTGTACCAAAAGGTACTAAATGCTTGACTACGCCATCTTGTATCGCGATTAGCAGTCCCCTAGATTTATCGGTCCATATATATAGTATACGTAATATACTAACAAGCCCGCAGAACTATACTACTATATCGTCATAAACATCGAATATATAATCAGAAATAGAGACGAAATGTCATTTAATTTGTTTGAAAACTATTCTGCCAAATCATTACGGTGACAACTGCGCTCCGATTGGCCAGCCCGAATTCGAAACAATTGACGGGTGTCGTCAATTGTTTCACTTCAAAACGACCAATTTAGCTTGAGCTTTGTTACAAAGGACGAAATTTGAAAGATCACATATTTAATATTTAATTACCGATGAAATGTGATTCAGTTTCTTTTGTAATTAGATGTTTTACTGTTTTTCCCACACCACCGAATGGAACAGCCCCTGTTGTTAGAGATGTTATCTTTATTACAATGAATACAGAATATTTTTGGAATATACGGAAATGTACAGACAGGTCAGTTGTTGACGATGTACTATTTCAGCTTTCTAATTTGTGATTTCAGCGCAAAGGGGAATTGATGTTTAAATGATGAGTTTCCTGTGATGGTGCTTATTACGTCTCTATTTCTGGTTATATACTCGATGATCATAAACAACAACTTTTGTTCTATCACTTTTAATAATTCATAAGACTTTACTTTAAAAATAAATATAAAATAGATCGATATTACTAAATGATTATCACTAATATCAGGTTTCTTACCACGGTATGACTTTTATTTTCCCGATATTTCGGAACGGGTGCACGCTCCATGGTCACGGGTTGACTGGACGGCGGCAGATGACAGCTTTAAGAGCAGACATATCTGTCTACCCTCTTGCGCTGTCGACGACTACCTTCATCGCGATTTGTAGTGGCGTTACCATTGTCACACACTTTTTTCACACAAACCACACTCACTGTATGATGTAATGTAATCATTTAGATAACCACGAAAGTCTTAAAATCTATATAGATCGATATTACGTTCGTATAAAGTTACACTATTTGAGTTATTATAATGGTTTTACTCAATTCCATCAAAAGTTATTGAGAAAAGGGACATTTCCCAAAGTGCTTAAGTTAATGACTTGTAGTTCATCCATATTATTAATCTTTTGTCTTCTATAACTGATAAAACCTGAATGTTTTAGGTAAATATATTCGTCGGTTTCGTCATAGTGACATTCCAAAACGAAGGAGAGCAGGAGTACAAGAATTGTGAACTGGACAAGAACCAGAGAAACTGTATCGAGTTTGCTCTGAAAGCTAAGCCTGTTAGACGGTTAGTTTTTACCATCGTTTCTAGATCATAGCTCACGTCTAGATTAAAAATTTATATGAATTGAAACTGACACATTGTCGATGAAACGAGACTCAATAATTATTTATTATCTATGAAATTAAAAGATTAATATTTCTGTAAATTTTATCTACGACAGATTTCTCCGAAATTATAAATTTCTGTTAAATGATACTGAAAAACAGTCGATGAAATGAGACTTAATAATTATTTATGAGATGAAACCATGAAATTTTCAGTGCAATGAAATGACAAATGTTTCTGTAAAATGAAACTACGAAATTAATGGCTACTAAGATCTACAACAAACTTCCACGTGAAATTAGGAATTGCAATAATTGTGCAGACCTTAAGAAAATATTATTTAATTACCTGAATTACACGTTGTTATTTAATTTAAATGTATCCTTTTTTATGTATATTATAGACATCGTATTTGAAAGGTACTATGTTTCGTTTAAGGTAAAAAAGGGTATATATAAGTTAAAAAGCAAAAAATAGTATCTTGACTTGCAACAACTTACGTGTGAGGTATCGTATGACATTCTACAATATTGAAGATTTCTTATAAAATTTACATTCCATATTACTTATTCAATGGGTTGTTGTTGTATTTTAGTATGTTTATTACGTTCTATTTTTATTATAGTATATTACAGATTATATAAAAACTAAGAAAACTTTATATTCCACAAGGCGGTTCAAAGTAATTCAAAATTTGTTCTTGTAACAACTTTATAATCTCAGAAAAAACACTCACTTACTTACTTACTTACTTACTCACTTAGTTGGTATAGCGTCTGCCACGGTATGCAAGAAGACGTCGGCTCGAATCAACGAACATTATCTTATTTGTAAAAAAATGTAATTGACAAGATAAATAACTTGAAAAAGAAAAAAAAAATCCCACCGGATCGAAGGAATTTTTTCTGAGTGTTTTTTCTGAGTGTTCGATCTTTGTATTAATAATTATAACAAACTAGTGGAGTAATTTCACAAAAAAAAAATTGAATATCAATTCAATAAAAAAAAATTTAATTAACTTTATAATCTGTATATCACAAAGAAATAATGATTGAAATTAATAAATAAAATTTATGACACTTTCGTTTCTTAACCCACAGATACATCCCAAAACATCGCATACAATACAAAGTGTGGTGGTTCGTAACATCGCAGCCGTTCGAGTACTCTATCTTCGTTCTCATCATGATTAATACCATAACTCTCGCCATGAAGTATCACAACCAACCTGAAGCGTACAGCGAGGTGCTTGACGCGCTGAACATGATATTCACTGCCATATTTGCTTTAGAATTTATTTTCAAACTGGCTGCCTTTAGATTTAAGGTAAGTGCCCGACAGGACCGCGACGTGGCGTTCAATTACAACAGGCACTAGGCATATTCAAGTACCTAAATTGGTTCGTCGATATCGACGACCAGGATAACGACCCGCGACTTTGCCGTTGTCGTCCATCCGAATTTGTAACTGACTCTATAAATGATGCACGCTTTATGGCTCTATGATCAGATCTCATTCTATATACACCCTTCTGTGAGCGTCGCTGCCTCTATACTGCAAGTGGTTGAATAAGCTGGTCTTCATTGAAACACTGTGCTCTAACAACTGAACTTTGGATATCATCCAGCTTACCAAGTCCAGCCCGTCTTAATTTGCGATCACTTTTTACTAAAGTTTATTACTAAAGTATAAAATATGTCCAAAACAAACATACTGGTCAACTACACTCAAGGACATATTTGTAGTTAACGTTAAAAAAAGATGAATTAGAGTAATGTTCATATGTACTAATAGCCAAATGTACCAGATATAACGGTCAATTTAAAAAAAAAGAATTAGTCATTCTTTTTTTTCGGATCGTCTTTTGATTTCTTGTGAACGTTGTTATCGTAGCACAACGTATCTCTTAACATGTATATAAGTATATCCATCTAGCTTGTCATATCATAATTCCGTCTATAAAATAAATGTCATAAAATTATGATTACAATTAAAACAGTCACGTTTAATTAAGTTCAGTAACAGAATTTGACTTCAACAGAACTACTTCGGCGATGCGTGGAACACGTTCGACTTCATCATAGTGCTGGGCAGCATCATCGACATCGTCGTCTCACAAGTCAACTTGCTCAAGTATGAGGTTAGTA